AGTCCCCTAGAATGAGAAGAACATCTTTCTTTGGTGTCAGTTCCAGAAGGTGTTGTAAATCTTCATAGAATTGTTCAATTTCAGTCTCCTCAGCAACGGTGGTTGGTGCATAAACTTAGATTATTGTGATGTTGAAAGGTCTTCCTTGGATTCATATTGACATCATTCTATCATTTTTGAGATTGTATCCCATTACAGCTTTTCCCACTCTTTTGTTGACTATGAGGGCTACTCCATTCCTTCTACGGGATTCTTGCCCAGAATAGTAGATATGATAATCATCTGAGTTGAATTCGCCCATTCCTGTCCATTTTAGTTCACTGATGCCCAGGATGTCGATGTTTATTCTTGCCATCTCCTGTTTGACCATCTCCAGCTTCCCAAGGTTCATAGATCTTACATTCCAGGTTCCTATGCAGTATTTATTTTTCTTTGCAGCATTGGACTTCCCTTTCACTTCCAGGCATGTCCACAGCTGAGCGTCCTTTTGGCTTTGGCCCAACCACTTCATTAGCTCTGGAGCTACTTGCATTTGTCCTCCGCTCTTCCTCAGTAGCATGTTGGACGCCTTTCGACCTGAGGGGCCCATCTTCCAGCGTCATATATTTTAGCCTTTTGTTTCTGTTCTTGGGGTGTTCTTGGCAAAGATACTGGAGTGGCATTACCATTTCCTACTCCAGGTGAATTGCATTTATTCGGAACTCTCCACTATGTCCTGTCCGTCTTGGGTGTCCCTGCACGGCATAGCCCATAGCTTCTCTGAGTTACTCAAGCCCCTTCGCCACGACAAGGCAGCAATCCACGAAGGGGTTCTTACATACACTTACTTAATTATGTTAAAAAGGGAAATCACATAAGTAAACAATATAGCAGTTTTTCCAGACTTATCTCTTGTTACTACTCTCTCCATTCCATTGGACATTCTCATACTTCTTTTATCTATACTGTACTTTCCAGTCCATATTTCAGATCCATATTTTGTTCCCATTTTTTTTTAGTCATTTCTTAAATGATCTTTCATTTAATGCTTCTGTTAGTACATCCATCTCCATCACTTTCGTTATATTTTCTATCAGTTCCTCCAGAGATGGCACCTCTTCTTTTTTCTAGTATTGTCCATATAGTATTCTCGCTGCCGTAATTACATGTATTATCAAATATCTCATTTCTTTATCTAGAGTTTCAGTCATAATATTCAATAAAAACAATTCTGGTTTAAATGGTATCACATCAGATAAGATTTTTTTGTATCATATCATGTATTGATCTCCTGTAATTTTTTGCTTCCCTGCATTTCCACCAGATATGGTAAAAAGTACCCTCCTGCATTTTACATTTCCAACATTTGTTGGAGGTATTTTTGTATACAGTGGACCCTTGACTTACAGACGGCTTGACTTACAGACTTTTTGAGTTACAGACTTCTCTGGCCGCAAAATTTAGGTTTGACTTGCAGACTGAGATTTGACTTAGAGACCAGAAAAAAAACCAAAATGGAACAAAAACGGCCTGTTACGGGATTAATCGGTTTTCACTGCACTGTAGGTCAATGGAGACTTGACTTACAGACTTTTTGACTTGAGAACCACCTTCCAATATGGATTAAGTTCTCAAGTCAAGACCCCACTGTATTTTGGACAATTTAGTTGGAATCATATGTCATCTATAAAACATCATATATATATTTTCTTTAAAATTACTGATTTTATAAATTTAATACCGTGTTTCCCTGAAAATAATACAGGGTCTTATATTAATTTTTGCTCCAAAAATGCATTAGGGCTTATTTTCAGGGGATGTTTTATATTTTTTTTCCATGTGCAACAATCTACATTTGTTCAAATACAATCATGTCATCTTCTGGTTGCTACACAATGGTGGATGGCGGGGTTTCACTTAACTGGGGCTTATTTTGGGGGTAGGGCTTATATTCCGAGCATCCTGAAAAATCCTACTAGGGCTTATTTTCAGGTTAGGTCTTATTTTCAGGGAAACAGGGTATTATTCTGACAATTTGTGCCCACTGTTCTAAATTGATATTATGACCAACATTTTGTACCCATTTTATTATCCAATCTTGCACCACTTCATCTTCCATTTTCATATTTAAGAGCTATTCATACATTCTTTTAATTATTTAATCATTTCTAACAGTAGTTTATAAAATGTCATTTGTTCTTCATAAAAAATCCAGCTTTCATGGATGACACTTCATATAATATTGACTAAGACCTTGAATATTGCATTCCCTGCGTTTTAGAAAGTGGATTCTAATCTATGGAAACCCATGTTAAAATAAATCTGATAGTCTTAAAGACCACAGATTTTCTTTTCTGCTATATACATATTTAGATACAGTGGTTAGCTTGGCAAGCATAAAGTCATTTTGAGCAGTCTGTCATCAAATACCACATGATGCCTATCTCTAGCCCCTGCTTGCTTTGCTGGGGCTAGTGGGCCGTGTATTGTGAGTTGGGATACTGCCAGTTTCTTTCCTATCTGACACCCACAAGGTTCAGGGTCGCTTCCTGGCATTGATATAATGAAGGACCTTTTCTGTTTCCCCCTCTCAATTGTTTTCACTATTTATAACTGCTGTATAATTACTCAAAGCTTACTTAGTAACCCAACGTCCCCTTGTGACATTGCTTACTGTCTTTTGGTACATTGCTGTGCTAATGCCACTTGACTTGTTGCCCTGCCCTGTCTGAGTCCAATGTCAGTATTATGACCTTCCTGGAGGCATTATGCTGTAAAACACTATTGGTGTTGAACATATTTATTTATTTATTTGTTTGTTTATTATATTCATGCCCCACAGCCTGCTGGAAATTATATGATTTCTACTGTGCTTAGGTAACAGGATTTTCTTTCCGGCCCCAGTTTTTGACTTGTGCTCATGGCTTTCCTGGAGTTAATGAGAAGATGTTGCCACATCTGTAAGCATGTATTGGCACATTATTTTCCCCATTCATGAGTAAGGTTTACAAGCTTTTACAGGCTTTAGTCATTTTCTGGAGAGCTGCTTTGCCCAAGTCTAAATCCCTGTATGTGTGACTCCAGAGAGAAGCACTTGAAGAGCTATGTTAGAAGTAAACCATCTGTCTTCTTTCTGTGGAGACTGAAGTACATGGTAGTGTAGTTTATTCTTACCTGAACTGAGAAGCAAGCCATAGTCATCATTCTTAATAACCATTTCTGAGTGAGAGTCAAGGAAAGTAGCATTTGAAGTAACCCTTATCTTTGCTTTACTACTGTGCTGCTTATGAAAATAGATTTTTAAAAGCTATGCTTGTGTTGCTTGTGTAAGATCCCAATTCCATTTGCACTTAGCATTGTACGGACATCCTGAAATCATCATTATAATTACTTTAAATCCATAATTCTTAACAATTATAATCATGTGCCATCAAGTCAATTACAACTTTTGACAACCCTTTTCAGGGTTTTCTAGGTAGAGCGTACTCAGGAATGGCTTACCATTCCCTTCTTCTAGGAGCATCTTGGGACTGTGCAGCTTACCCAAGGCCACACAGCCTGGCTCTTCTGACATGCACAGTGGGGAACTGAACTCCTAGTCTCTGGCTTCACAGCGAGATACCTAACTCACTGAGCTATCCAGTTAGCAAAGTCATAATAGACTAATGTATTTCTAATCAGAGACCAACTGCAGCATATCAGGTAAATACAGAAGAAACATTAAAAATGAAGACAAAAATGCTGTGGCACCTTAAAGATTAATTGCTGTATTTTAATGTGAGCTGCCTATTAAATTTGTGAATAGCAGAAGTTCCAGGAGGTGTGTTTCGGTAATGGTCAAAGCTGTTTCAAAGGTTATATATTACTTCCACAGAATGCATTTCATTGTTGGAAATTTGAGGCAACATTAACGTAGTTTGTTGTATGGAAAAAATCTAAATATGAACTTGTTTTGCTATTTACATAGATAGATTTTGTCATGTGAAAAATGCTGCATATGTTTTATTCTACTAATTTATTCAAAAATCTTTATAGCTATAATTAAAACCAACATGCCTTTCAGTTATTAAAGCAGTATTTATTAAAACATGAAAGCAGTGCTGGGTCTTAAAATAACTTCTATTTCCTTAGTCTGATTTAGATCTTAGTCTGCTTCTTGGGGTATGAGGGAATCTGTACTTAAAGGTATAGGAAAAGTGTTATTTGTTTAGTGCCACTCATTTAAACTAGGATTTATACGATCAGTGCAAGAATTAACTTCTCTTTGGCGATGCAAGGTCTTGAACTCTCTAATCTGAGCATTCTTGAGGGTCAAACAAAATAAAACAAATTCTGCTTTTTATATACTGCCCCATAGTGCTTAAAACAGTCTTTGTTTTATAATTTACTTTTGTAAACTCAACTAGTGCCATATTATAATACACGGTTTCGGATTAGAAGTTGAAATCCTCAAAGAATGATAATCATGTGCAGACAGTACTGTAGATCATAGAATAATTGTTTTTAAATGTAATCCATATTCTAATATCTCCTCTGATAATCTATATTAAATATTTCATATTTTTAAGGGTTCCCATACTTTGTGATTTTGAACCTCTCCACCAGCATGTACTTGCTCTACATAACCTGGTCAAAGCAGCGCAAAGTTTGGATGAAATGTCACAGACCATTACAGATCTGCTGAATGAACAAAAGGTATCCTTGGGGTATGGATGTGATTATATATAAAGAAAATATTTAGAATGCCAATATAGAATGCTACTTGGAAATAAATATGAGGTTAAATCCAGTTGTTATTTGGCTACTAGTAAAGTAGGTCCATTAAATGAACAGGACTTACCAAGCCAACCCTCCTGTAACTTTTGTTGATTCGGTGATTCTACTTGAGATGGGAGTGCCAGCCAGATTTAGCTTCAGTTGTAAATTGGAGTCAGTTAAGAATTCTTTAAAACTATATCAGGATTGAACAGCTAATTTCTTTGTTTTTCCTGATTTCTGAAAAAAAAAGTTTTTATCTGATGAAGATAGCTCTGAACACCTTGAGAGCAGTGTATAATAATGAATAGTACATTAATTAACTGATTATTGGTAAACAGTTAACCTGCAATATGAGGAAGTTGTTTGCTAACAAGAGAAGGGTTGAACTACTCATTCTTTATCTCTGTCAAGAAATGTAACAATATTTGAATTAGTTTTGCCCTTTTTCACTTCAGATCATGCATATTCTTAAAGCCTTTACATTGTAGAAAAAGTCAGATTTTTAAATTCCAGGTTGGATGCAAGGTCCCCCGTGCACATGGGAGTAGATGCAGTTTTGAAATTGGGATTAGAAAACTTTCATAGGTCAACTTCCAATTTTAACCTCTTTTTTAAAAGTGCACCTCACATCTGGATATGTCTTTTTCTTTTTTGGCTTTGTGAGGTAGATGTTCAAACTGCCTGGAGTCAGCAGGTTCTTTCCAGAGCTAGTTTTTAACTTGCCACAATACTTATACCTTGAATTTGTTCATTAAAGAAGTGGATGAATTGAATCCTTTAAATCTTTTGCTCTGTTTTGTCTGTTCATAAAAACATTGGGTTTTCTTCTTGAAATGTGCAGAAGCTTGTCAGACATACTGAAATAATAGGCTAAGACATTCCTTTCTCTCTCGCCTTCTCCAGAGGTTGTTTTGTAGTACCTTAAATGTTGGTTTACTGAAGTACCTAAGACCTTTTCATCACAACAATAATTGAAGTGATGCATGCTTGTTCTTACTTCAACATTTCAGGTTTACCAATGGTAAATGTACTTAAGTGTCAGTAACATATGTCTAAGAGCATCTGTTGTGAATCCACATGCTTGTCACCTCTTCAGGGGTCCTTTGATTACTCTTACAGCATCTTCTGGCAGAAGTAACATATGGATAGGCTTAAATGTTGGAAGTAGAGGATTGAAATATTTTGCCTTGCCATTTTTATTCTTTGTGCTCTTGGAGGGCATCTCATCTTCATTGTTGTTGTTGATTTCAGAAGGACATTTGTTCTTGAATGTTACTAGAATATTAGTTGGGAAGCATAAGGTTGTACTTCAGTTACTCTCAAACGATGTCATTTATCCATATATACATACATGTTCACAAATTGAAGGGCTTAGTCCAGCTGGAGACTTTCTGAGTCAATTAGGATAATAAAGGTCAAAAACTTCTATCATTGCATTAAAAACTTAAATTTTATATAAAAATTACTGCTGAAAACACTATTAAACTAATAAAATTATAAAAACTTTTCTGATTTCTTGGAGCATCATAGAAAAAGATGACTACCCCCAGACCAAACAGACTGAATTGGCTCAAAAAAGTCACAGGCTTAGCTTCCAAGTAAAAAGTGTAATAAAACAATAAAAAATCAAGCTGTCAACAAAAGAAAATGTCCTATCTTCTTCAGGATTACAAATGGCATACTAGCTACATTGCACATGGTGATACATACTCAATGTGATTACAACACAAAAACATTCCACGTGTACTAATTTCTTGATCAACTTTTTCCTTTTCTGATGAGATCAATTACAAGGAGTCACAAGGCACTAAGTCTTTGCTCTTATTATTAACCACATTATTTATAACATGTATTTCTAAAGATTCTCTTAACAGTCCCAAATTCTAAGAGTATGGCTGAAATAGTTTTTTGTTTCATTAAAGCAGATACTATGCCCAGTTTCCCAACTGTGTTTTGCTAATCTTGATTCAATGTAAGATAGCACTGATTTTCAGTGTAAAATTAGTTGACTGAACATAAGAAAGCTGCTGAAAAGCCAGAAAAAAATGGCTTGAAGCCATGCTGCCATATATTCAGGGGCAGGTTGTGCTGCAGATTTTGTTGTTGTTGGGGCACCCTTAGGTTGTGAGATAACAAGAATTTGGCCTGTGGCTAGCCTGAAATTGCCTCCTACTGTTCTAAAGTTTGGCAGCTTGAACATCAGATGGCATTTAGTGACTGTTTTTAGTACAAAGCCATGGCACAGATTATTTTTAGGAAGTTTTGGGATTTGCCTCCTTTGAGATAAATTTGGAATTTCACTTTATGTATGGTATGCTCTCTGTTTGGCCTGAGATCTGTATGGGGGAATGATATGAGAGTATTTTAACATCTACCTCTTTTTCATTTTTAGGCTTCCAACAGTCAAGACTCCCCACAGTCTGTCACTACACCAAGGATGGAAGGAACAACAATTGCTACCTCTCCTAAAACACCACCACCACTCAGTCTTCAGGGACCTCTGTACCCTCCCGTATGTCCTCCAGGTCCTTTGGAAGAATTGTCACCAGACAGTATTGATGCTCAGACATTTGATTTTGAAACAATTGCCCATCCAAGCATAGAACAAGCTCTTAAGCAAGGGTCTTTAGATTTGGATTCATTGGCAGAAAGTCCAGAATCTGATTTTATGTCAGCGGTGAATGAGTTCATAATAGAAGAAAACCCAACGTCTCCAAATGTCATAAGTGATCCTCAGAGTCCAGAAATGATGGTGGAGTCCCTCTATTCCTCAGTTATCAATGCAATAGATAGTAGGCGGATGCAAGATACAAATATATGTGCAAAAGAGGAAGCTTTAGAAAATTCTGCTGTAAATGTTTATATGGAGAAATGTAGAGATGTTGCCCAGGAATCTCACTTAAATTTAATAAACATCAAAGAAGATCTTTGCCACTTTAGAACGTTTGTAGAAAAGGAACAGTGTGAATTTTCCAGTTCTTTAAAATGTACTTCAATAGAAATAAGGAATATCATAGAAAAGGTAAAACTTTCTCTTGAAAAAACACTAAAAGATAAGCATCAAAAGGAACTTCAGTCTATAAAAACTGAATATGAATGTAGATTGAATACCTTAGTTGAAGATAGTGAAGAGAATCAAAAAAAGATTACAAAATTAAAACATGACTTAAAAGGTCTAGAAGAGGTTTTGCATGACAAAGATAATGAATTTGCAATAGTAAAGAATGAAAAGGAAGCAGTTGTGGTTTTACAGAATGAAAAAGATCAGAAGTTGCTTGAACTGGAATGCCAAATGGAGAATCAGACTTGTGAAATTAAAAAGCTAAGAGAGTCACGTGAAAGAGTATTAGAAAAATTGAAAAAACTTCATATTGAAAATGATGAAAAAATGCAACTTCTAAGGGAGGAACTTCAAACTTTGGAGCAAGATCACCTGAAGGAATTAGAATCCAATCTTCTTATCAAACATACACAAGAGTTTGAAGAATTAATGTCCAAACATGATGATTGTTTAGAGAAATTAAAAAAAGAAAATCAGAAGCGACTTGAGCAAATGCAAGAATCCCATGCTGCTAATATTCATGCAAAAGAACAAGAGATTGAACAATTGAAGATCAAGGTTTCTGAACTGTCTGACTTAAGATGCAAATTGGAAGTTGAACTTGCACTGAAAGAAGCAGAAACAGATGAAATGAAGTTACTCTTAGAAGAGAGCAAAACTCAGCAGCAGGATAATCTGAAAAGTCTTGTTGACAAGGAAACTCAAGTGTTAAGAAAAGAGATTGATAAATTGAACCATATAATTCAAGTTAACAATGATGAATATCAGGTGGGTCTAGCAGAGCTAAGAACTTTAATGACAATAGAGAAAGATCAGTGCATTTCAGAATTAATAGACAGGCATGAAGAAGAAACAAATTTACTTAGAACTGAACTAAGCAAAGTAAATTCTTTGCATCAAAAAGCTCTTGAAGCAGAAAAAAGGTTGGAAGAACAAATAACAGAATTGCAAGGTAAACTGGAACTGGAAGTAAGTGCCCTGGAGAAGGAAAAAGAGAAGAATCTGGCACTCTGTGAACAACAAAAGAAATATGAAGCCACAATCAGTAAGCTAACAGAAGAAAAAGAACTATTAATAACAAACCATGGGCAGGACAGGAATGTGCTTGTGCAGAAACTGAATTGTGAAAAAGAAGATGCTGTACGAAGTGCCCTTAAAGAATTTGAGTTGCAGAGGGAAGCTGTTGAAAAAGAACTTTTGGAAAAAATCCAGCAACTTGAGATTCAAGTTAATCAGAGGTATTGTATGAATTAAATTACACACTTCTGTTTGCAATAAAACCAGTTGTTCTCAATATATCTTGCAGTCATTGGAGTAAGTGCAGTGAAGCCATAAATAAGAGGATGACTTAAGATTCCAGATTTTCCCCCTAACATGTCTTCAACCTGTCTTCACCATCAAACCTTAATCCTCTTGTTCCATAACATATATTTGAGCAACATGATTTATTTGTTGTTCTCCATTTGTCTTGACTCTTGAACTAAAGACAAATTAATACCTGGGGAGGGCAGGGTGTCACATATTTGCATTAGATGTATACTTCCTATTTCATAATGGATTGGTAACTAGCCTCATCCAATTGGTAGAGCAGTCCCACTGAATCAGTGGAATGTCTATAAATGTTAGCCCATCACTTAGCAGTACATTTAATGAGTCTATTTTGATTGGGACTACAAGTTTGAATTGGAGCGTAATTTTTTTAAGCTGTGTATCCATTGAAATCCATATTAAAAAGTTATCATTTGGAATGAATGATGGAGAACATGGAATGTATCTTCCCCTTTGATGTGGGAAGCTGCTCAGTGGGAAAGCCAAGATCAAGAGTGATCCTTCCCCCTCCAGGCTTCTCAGTTTGCTACATTTGAATCAGCTGTGAAGAAATTAAGGCAAGGGTTTGGCCTTTTGCCATATTCATCCAGATTTTGTTCATTAATATCCTACATATGTAGGTTTGTATGTATCTTTACTTGCAACGTTTTGCTTTCAGGTTGCTTTTGTTGGGATGTCCTCATTTGTTTGATATGGACTTTTCAAGTAATTCAGCTTTAAAACTGTTCTGTTCATTAGCTCTTAAACTGGCGGTGTTCTTAGTTGTTTTTAGAATTTTTGTTCTTCTGTAGTATGTGTTTTAAAATATCACATCGACTTTCATCCTGACATTTGAAAGGTATGTGACTGTATTCAGTATTTATCCACTGAGCTTGTTTCTAAGTAAAATGGATTCAAATTAAAATAAATCAGGCTTATTCTATTTATCAATACAATGAGTAACCTTTGGAAACATTGGGCAAGATCTACAATTGCTGATAGGTATGGTGGTGCTCTCATCACTCCCATGCTTTATCTAGTATCTCCAGTGTAGAAAGGGAATCTTTGGATTCAAGTCACAAAATGTGTAGATTACTCTTTGCATACATCACCCTAGGGAGTGTATTGAATGTAAGATGAAGGGTAGATAATAGATTTTGGCAGACAGTATACTTGCTTGTACATTGTGGGACAAGTATTTTGATTTAACTGTAAATTACCTAGAAAGAGGAGCTGAACTTTTTGCATAGGTTTGAAATATGGGAAGTCCATGTAGGGTTGATTCAGATGTAGCAAGAAGACTTCCCCTTGGTGAGATTCAGCCACAGTGAGCATTTGGCTTATTGTGTTTATATATTTTTTTTCTTCTACAGAGGTCAGGGTGGTATACATATCTCTTTCACCATTCCCATGTTTTATCCTGACAATAATTTTCAGGCTGAGAGGCTGATCTAGAGTCCCCATGGCCAACTAGACATTGAAACAAGGTGTCCTGAACTGTAGCCATATATTCTAGTCAGTACTCTACTTTGAAAGAAGAAAATGGAAGGATAAAGGCATTCATGCCCCTTCTGCCCTTCTACAACTTTTCCCATGTGCCTCTGTTTTTTATTTTAAAATAATGGCTTTCTGTGATGTCTGAATTGGGGAAATGGTTTGTTTAAACTATTATTATTGAGAACAAGCCCAGATCAAATCACATCCCAACAGTTACAGCCTAATGTTTTCTTACACCATTGTTTAAGGATACTACATTCCCTCCCTCCAAATTTTAGTGTCACAGAGAACTGTCATTTGGTTCCAGATTTTGGAAAAAAAATCAAACTTCTCTTTGAAAGGGGAATGTACCATCTGGAAATATGTTGCAAATCATTTTTGTAAAAGAAAACTATGGTTTCTGTTTCATGTTTAGCCTGCTGTATAAATTCTAAAGCAGTGGTTCCCAACCTTGAGTAACCCAGGTATTCTTGGACTAGAATTCCCAGAAACCTTCACCACCGGCTGGCTAGGGTTTCTGAGAGATGCAATCCAAGAACAGCTTGGTTACCCAAGGTTGGTAGCCATTGATGTAAAGTGTAAGATAAGGTTCTAAGAACGTTGGAATCTTTCTACATACAAAAGTATAATCCAGTGCTGGTAGAGACCAGGAAGAAGAGACAAGCACATCTTGGCTATTTTACAGCAGAATCATGCATGTACTGCCTTTTTTGTTTCCACTGCAAGGCCTGAAAATGGGGTGGGGTTGCTGCAGGGAAGGACAGTCTCTGAAGATTAACCTGTCCTACTGACAGATCTTTATCATCAGGGTAGCAAACACTGAATCCCACCCCCTGCCAAAACTGCATTCCAAGGTTTTTTGGAAATAAAATAAAACAAAGCTGTTACTGTGTATGATTTGGTTTCATAAAAGTTGATAGCAGACTTTTAACAGACTTCAGTTTGATGTCTTTATATAGCTTATTATCTGAAAACATTTAAGGCTTCCTTCCTCAAGTTTCTGAAGCATATGTTTGCCAAATAACAGTGAGAATAGCTTTATCTTTTAATAACTCAGAATGCCAAGTCTGCTATTTAGTGTTGGAAGCTACTGGATAATTTGTATTTTTCTATAATGAAGATGTCGGATGCCACAATGAAAAATCAGAATTAAAAAATTAAGATATTTAGAAAAATAATGTGCTGAAAATCTGACAGATGTTCAGGTCTGAAAGTCAAACTATTGTCTGATCAGTTTCTGTGTGATTAACGGGCCAATACTGTGTCTCTTATATATTTTTTCAAATAAAGTTGCACAGATCTTGTTCAATTGCTAAATAATTTGAAAATAGATGTTCATAGTTGATATAAAAATAATTTTTATTGGGAAAATGCTGCATTTAAAAATATCCAGTCTAACCATACTGTCATTGAGGGCAAGACTAAATCACCTGGTATACTTTAATTATGTTATTGTTGAATGCATTGCTTTAGTGAATTTTTATGAATGAGTAAAAATGTATATGAATGTAAGCTACGATGCAGATGGATGAGAAAGATATATTTAACTAAAGGTACTCCTTTTTTTGTCTTACCAGTTTGATATGTCATCCACCACAGCTTAAAGAATCATAGTGATTTAATGAGACATGAAGCTGTTCTGTGCTGTTCAAGACAGACATTATACATACCTATGTTCAGTCTCATTTTTGGTTCAGATTGTATTTGCCTGTCACTTCTCACATAAAGAATTGATAGGGTCTCATAAAGAAGCTATATGTGATTTTTTTCCCCCATGCAGAATGTAAAGAATAGGAAAAACAGGGTCCTGGGCCAAAACAGGGACTTCTTTCATCTTGTGCATAGCTGAGCAAAGCCTTTGTTAGTATTAGCACCCTTATTAAGGAAATGTCCCATGGGAGGTTTGATACGCTTTATATTTGGTGATTTTTATATTGACAGCTGCAACATTTATATGCTCTTAAAGTTTTCTAACTGGTTCACTAATCTTTTTTCTTTGCCATTCTGTATTTGTTTGAAAGGTGATTTTTTCCCCATCTTTATTATTTATCAATTATTTATTTAAAATATATTTACCCCACCTTTCTCATTGGAAAAGGTGGCTTACAGCATTTAAAGACAATATTTAAGAACAAAACAATGATACAAGGGTGACATACATCATTAAAAGTCAATATTAAAAAGAAACAACAAAATACCCCTCTTAGAAATGGGAAACACAAGTACCTGTAATACTAAAGATACCGTCAAAGCATTGATGCATAACAATCCATCTAAAAAGATCATGCACAGGCAGCCATTCATTGGCGAAAGTCAGTTTGCCTGAAGAAAAAGGTATTCACTTGCTTGCAAAAAAGACAACAAAGATGGGGCCAGCCTAGCTTCTTGTGGGAGGGAGTTCCAAAATCTTGGAGCAGCGATAGAGAAGGTCCTCTCTTGTGTCCCCATCAAATGTACCTGTGAAGGTGGTGGGACAAAGAGAAAGGCCTCTCTTAATGATCTTAGTACAAGAGGAGGTTCATAATGGGAGCCGTAGTCTTTGAGGTAGGGCTTTGTAAGTTAAAACCTTTGAATTGCGTCCAGAAATAGATTGGCAGCCAGTGGAGCTGTTGTAACGGGGGATTGTGTGACCCCTGTAACCTGCCTCAGTCAACAATCTGTCTCCTGTATGCATACGTACAGTTGTAAGCCACCTTGGAAGACCTTCCAAGAGCAGCCAAAAGGTGATATATAAATATTTTAAGAAATCATTTACAGTGGTGCCTTGCTAGACAATTACCCTGCATGACAGTTTTTTCGGGTGGAGCTGTTCTAACTGGGGATTGTGTGACCCCTGTAACCTGCCTCAGTCAACAATCTGTCTCCTGTATGCATACGTACAGTTGTAAGCCACCTTGGAAGACCTTCCAAGAGCAGCCAAAAGGTGATATATAAATATTTTAAGAAATCATTTACAGTGGTGCCTTGCTAGACAATTACCCTGCATGACAGTTTTTTCGCTAGACATTGACTTTTTGCAATCGCTATAGCGAATCGCAAAACAGTGATTCTTATGGGGGAATTTCGCTGGACAATGTTTGGTCCCTGCTTCACCAACCAATTTTCGCTAGACAACGATTTTGACAGCTCCCTCCGTGCTCGCAAAACGGGTGTTTTCGGGACCTAAGTTTCACAAGACAGCTATTTAAACAGCTGATCGGCGGTTCACAAAGTGGCTTTCCTATGGCCGATCTTCGCTAGACAACAACGATATTTCCCCATTGGAACGTATTAAACAGGTTTAAATGCATTCCAATGGGGAAATGCTTTTCTCTAGACGATGATTTCACTAAACAGCGATTGGCCACCATAAAATTTTAAGGAGCCATCCTGTATCAACAGATAAAGGGAGACAAAATAGTGAAAGTCAGCAATAAAAGCACATGACCAAGAACATGTCAAAGTGGCATTTTAGTCAACAAGGAGCCTGAGGAGGATTTCAGAACCTTTGCAAGGAAGAGGGACTCAATATCCGGCACATGCAAGGAAGATATTTTTAAAATTCTTTATTTGGAAAGCATGCTCTTTTCTCCTCTTCCCTATACCCACAGTTGCCTGGGATAATAGGTATTTGTTACTTTTTGGATGCATGCTAAGACCCTGTGTCCTGAAACAGATGCATGGTATCTACTTGAGTTAATGAGGATAGTCCATTGAACATGGACAAAGGTGTTTGGGTAGCTTCATGCAAGTTTTCCTGGTTGAAAAAAAAAAGCACAGTCCCCCACAATTAATAATCATTTCCACAAGGACAGAACATTGTTCTGTCTATCTTTTGATGTGCAAAATTTAGGAAAAGATGTAGGTATCAACGTACCTGAAGGGTATTTGACTTCATAGAGATTGGGCAGTCATCTTATAGTTCACCAGCGTGAATTAATGAATTCACCAGAGTGTGAAAGACAGTTGGAAATTTCCACCAGATATTGTATGGTTCAGTAATGCATACTTCAGTCCATGATCTTGTGAAATTTCATAAATCACTAATCTGTCATTCCCATTCTTTTCCAGAAGATGGCTGAACCCTTGATATTTATAATATAGGGCCTCTAGTGACAAATCCAGTTGTAAAGTAGCTAACTGATTGTTTTTCCATATCTCTGTGATAAGATCCAGAAGCAATTCATATCCTGCCCCATATCTAGTGGTCTTGGTGGAGTCAAATACAGTAAAACAGGATAAATCAATGATAAAATGATTGAGCATGAAAAGCACTTCAATGGAGTTTTCATTTTGGTGGCCATGTTAATCTGTCAAAGCAGAAAGATCACAGAGATATATCATTCAGCTCATCAACCTGACATTTTCTGGCATACGTTTTTGTGAACTATAATCCACTTGTTCAAGTGCACGTCATGTCAAATGTTACAAGTATTTATACATGTCTCTTGATGTATAAATACGAAGAAATAGGAAGTGGAAACCAGAGGAAAATAAAACCCAGAAAATAGAGATGCTGATTATTGTGGCAATTATGCACAAGATAATTCTTGGGTGATAGCACTGTCTTTGCATTGGTAAGATTAACATATGTAGGAACTTCAGATATGAATTTGTAGCTTGAAACAGTGTGATTTGTCTGAAGATTGAGCTCTTTATCTCCTGTAATAAAAAGGATAAAAATCATGTTTAAGAAAGTAAAAAGTCGCACTGCGTGTCTTAATTAGCTCACCAGAGCAAGGATATCTGTTACCACACAATTGTTCTATGACTCGCCACTATCTATAGTTGATTTTTTTCTGCCATCTGGTTCACAATTCCACCTCCTCCCTCTTATAATGTAACATACATACAAGCATCTACATTCTGACTGCCATGTGTGACTTTTCTAACTGACTCTTGTTTTGCATAAACCTCTGCTTGTATTTAGAACAAAAATTAAAAGCAGACTTCTGAACTCTAAACTTTTGTTTTTCTTCTCTGTATGGTGTTTTGTTTTGTTTTCTGCTATATCAATTGTTGATACCCAGTAGCTCAGAAGTAAAGCAGTCTCGAAGAGTCATGTTGCTGTGTTTGAGTGTTGCATTTAATTCATTTAGTTTATTTTTAAGATTTTTATCCCACTCACCTAATGGCTTGGAGTTTAAATTACTTGGAATTTAATGATGGTGGTGCTAGAGTATTAATGAGTGGTGCCTCATTTATTTGATTTATATACTGCCTCATTAGTTCACGCTAGGTTGTTTACAAGTCAAAAGATCTTACAGACCTCACATAAGAATACATATTACAAATAGTGATTAAAAACCATGCAATAAAGAAAAGAGAGAACAAGAAATGAAAAATATGTACATTAACAACATCCAAGGAACTCAGTTTTCTCATCCATATTAAAATAATATAGTTAATTGGCCAGCCAGAAGGGTACAGCAATACGTGCAGACTTGATGTGATACTTAGGCAAGATGTTACATATTTTGGGAAGAGGGAACATCTGCCCAGATTTTGACGTCATTTTTTTTCTCATGGTGGTTTCAGAAGAGGAAGGATCTGCAGATACTCAGATTAATCTTTGTGTTGTTATAGGATGTCTTCTAGGTTTCACTTAAACTAACTTTAGGCAATGGGACTGGGAAAATAAGATGATGACTTTTATTTCATACTTAACCTTCTTTAACATGTTGGCTTGTTACTGAACCAATCTCTGGGTGAATTGTTGGTTCTTAACTCCCCTTCTCTAGCCAGTAGATGAGAAGAAAGTATGTCTTCATTGGCTAGGGTAGCAGAGTGCACTGCTCATTTCTGTTATAGGAAGAGCAAGTTATAAATAGGTTAAAGATTAAATTATGGGTAAGGCCAAATTTTCCATTCCTATCTAGGCATCTTTTATTATGGAGTGATAAGCACCTGCACGGATAGGTATGTATCTGTGTTTATATGCTAATTCTTGCATCCAAGATAAATTAATTTATGGAAGGAATCCTCTTCCATCCCTTTTCCTAGCCGCTCTCATGAAAAACCTCTTTAGAAAATTGGATGGAATTCCTGAGCAGGTCTCTGTAGAGGATTTGAAAGAAATAGTTCTCCTGTTCCATGGAGATAGTTCCAAGTTGAAATGTTTAGCTATCCTGTGGGATTGATGACCATTGTGTTTTAACAGGAATTCATTTGCAAGCCCCTGTGTTCATAGGCAGTGTTACTAAAACTAAATACGTGGTGAGCTGCAGTTGTTCATGTATAGATTAAAAATTATATACACTTGTTTTTTAAAAGGTTTATTTATCTTTCATTGATACGGCTGTGATCTATCAAGGTGTATTTGCTGATGGATCTGCCTTCATCAGTAGAATTGGGAGGTTTTTATTCCCTTCTTATTGCATCCCCCTTTTTATACCCCTTTGTACTCTCTTTGGAGGACTGGAAATGCTTCAGATTCAGCTTACAAGGAGCACTGAATTCTGTGGTGGTGGGAGTGGGAAGGACGTTCCATTATGCTGGTATTACTGCACTAGTGCAATGTTGGGTTTAAGCAATTGCAGTTTAATGTCAAGCAATTATGTAAAGGTTCATTATATAAAAGTTCATTGGTTTCAAACTCTTAGGGGTTTCTTTTAAGCCAGAAGTTTCAGTTATTGCCTTCAAGCAAATTTGCCAAGCAGAGCTGTATTAACATTTAATATTGTTGCTGGTGCCAGGTTGTTTCTTATAATTTATGTTGTATAAGTGCAATTTTGTTTTTCAAATCCACTAAATTGTATGGGAGTCATCTATTAGAAGGTGTAAGATTAAACTGTTTATCAGCTATAGGTATTATACTTAGATTTTAATGTTTGCAAAGGAAATGAGAATAGTTGTGTTGGTCTGCTGAGAGATACATCTAGGAAGATGATTTTGATGAGTCGTAAACTAGTGATATGCTGGAGGTTGTTTTCATCTTGTTTGTACTGCTATTTATATCTCAAGGAAAATGATTATTTGATAAATATTTAAGAAGTGCAAGATGAAGCACATCATTTTTGTCTCTTGTTTCTTCTATCATTTTATTTAAAAAAATGAATATCCATAAAGTTGTATATCCTTTACCCTGATTAGAGTCTTGTGGAACAGTGTTTAAACTGCAGCACTGCAGCCAAAACTATTCTCACAACCCAGATTCAGTCCCAGGTAGCTGGCTCTAGATTCACACAGCCTTCCACCCTTCTTAAGTCAGTAAATTGAGTACCCAGCATGCTTGCGGGGGGGCGGCGGCAATGTGAAGCCTGCATAATTAAATTGCAAACCACCTAGAGAATGCTTTAAGCAGTATGCTTTGCTTTGCTTTGATTGTGTGGCAGCAACTTACTCATGACGCAGTGGGGTGGGGTTTTGGTGATTGTATGTGACCTACGAAGGCTCCCCTTTGTGGTTTTGTAGCATAAGATACCACTACTGTTACTACTGATATTTCTATAACTCACCACTGAAAGTTCATATCAAATGGAACTTGCCACAGGATGTTGTGTGTGGGACTAATGTTCAGGATTGCAGCCACTCCTTTTCACACACATACACAACATTCCACAAACATTCCATGGTCTTTGTGCATGCTCATGCCTAGTTAGGGGGGCACCATTAAGATCTCTTTCTTGTCTTCTACAAACCATGGTCTCCCCTTAGTTTGCTTTCATATGTGTATTTGTTTCCTCTCTTGATGCAGAAGTATTAGGTTACAGTTGTCTGTTAATCTTATCCAGCATCTTGTGTTTCATAGTTCAGTAGAAAATCCTTGTAGGGGCACACACATACAAAGACATCAGGAGAAATAGTATTAAGTTTTGAACCTTTAATGTGTGTGGCTTTATTTGGACCAAACCCCATTCTTCTATTTCTTTCTTTCTTTCCTTCCTTCCTTCTTTCCTTCCTTTAGTTCGGCTGAATCATTTGCATCAAGCTTGGTTGCTGAACTTCAAGAAAAACTCCAGGAGGAAAAGGTGAAGTTTTTGGAGCAGCTTGAAGAACATGAGAAAAGGAAAAATGAGGAAATGCAAAACATTCGAACATCACTCACTGCAGAGCAGCAGGTAGAATAGTCTGTTCTGTGACTTCAAAATAAATGCAATAGATGTGCATAGTCAATGATAATTAGAAGCTTGGTAGCCTGTGCAACAGATAGTCATTCTTTAGATTCCTAAGAACTTTTAATGATATCTTTGTCTGGAATGAAGTTGTAATGGAATGAAGACTGTAGTATGGAATATAAATATAATCAATCAATAAATGATATACCAGAATTAAACTGAATGCATTCGAGGTTTGTGTTTTCCAAAATCTTTTACAAGCACAACTCGGAAATGCATTCTGCCTATCGTTTGTTTGTTTGCTTGCTTCTTTGTTCCATTTTAAGTTCTAGGTGAAGAAAATAAAGGGTTTTTCCCTTCATATTTAATTATGTTGTCTTACCTCAAGTAATGTTGTTTCTTTTTTTTTCAGACTACCTTTAATACTGTGCTGACAAGAGAAAAGATGAAAAAAGAAAACATCATAAATGATCTTAATGACAAATTAAAAATGATAACACAGCAACAAGAAAGGGACAAGGGTACGCTTGAGCTAGAAAATATTGTACAGTTTTAATCCAACTAATTGTTATGTTCAGTATTTGAATGTTGAAAAATAATTATTAACTGTTCCTTGTTCAGATCTGATTGAAACCCTTTCTGAAGATCGAGCTCGTTTAATTGAAGAGAAGAAGAAACTAGAAGAAGAAGTTAATAAATTGAAATGTAGTAATCTGGTTCCATCAACCTATTTACCTCCCAGTTCAGAACTTCCTGGAGCTTGTGCAGCTGACTTTGCTGCAGAAACGGAACGACTGGCTTCAGAAACTACAGAGGAAGGGAGAATGGATTCTACACTGGAAACTAGCATGATGGCTGTAAAGTAAGTAGCACAATTTGGTACTAAACTAAATACATACCTGAATGTTGCAGAACAAATTAGATACTTGGTTTAAAACCCTATTGATGTTTGAAATTTTTGTTCCAAATACTTGTTTTCCAAGTATTGCAAATGCTTATCTTTATTATCTTATATATATAATGTGTGCTTGATTGATAGGAGTGTCTGCACCTTGACCATGAACTGCTTCTAATGCAATTCATTCTATACTGGAATGTAATTCATTATCAGAACCTGAGTCATTGGTGTTTCATACTTTGCTGTGTTCAGTGGAAATAATGTAGCTAGGAGTGTCTGCACCTTGACCATGATCTGCTTGTACTGCAATGCATTCTATACTGGAATGTACCGTAATTCAGTATCAGAACCTGAGTCGTTTGTGTTTCATACTTTGCTGTGTTCAGTGGAAATAATTCTTAGTCATTCAACTTTTTGATGGAGTGTTTTCCACTTATGAATGAAGGGGTAAAGTATCAAACCTTAACTGGAGTTGAATGTGATTCATAACCATAGTCGGACACTTATTTATGCTCTGTTCGTTCCCAGTATTAGAACATTATTATGTCTATATATCTGTGGGGTGGGGTAGACAGAACAGTGGAAAGGTATGCACACACACCTGTCTTCTGGTCAGAAGGTTTGTTCAAACATAACTGAATAAAATTCAGAGATTGGAAGTCATCTTAGAGGGTCCATGCTGACTGGACCAACCTTTCCAAGCTAGTTGTAGCTGGATGGTGGTGATGTATACACAGATTCTGCTTAATAGACACTCACTTATGCTATCACCCCGGTGGCATTTTACAGTGGCTTCAATCCAATTGAATAACTGTGCTTGCAGAACTTGATGTTACGCAAGCAGTAGTGCTCACTGTGCCAAGGCAGAAGTGCTGTACTCAAAGAATTTATGCAGCTGCATTGAGCAGTCGGTTAGAAGAAGAACCATGTGATGGATTGTACAATTGAATTGCCCAGTTGTCGTTGCCTTAGTGAAATGCTGGGTACATTTATTCAAACATAACATTGTGTGGCATCTAGACAAACAGGATTCAATCCAATGACCTCAAAATGATTGGTTTCCAGCAAATGTGAAAAGGCATGATATACCGTATTTTTCGCACCATAAGACGCACTTTTTCCCCACAAAACAGGGGGGTGGAAACTCTGTGCATCTTACGGAGCTAAGAAAACAGATTATATTTTCCTGTTTTCTTCTCCTAAAAAAATTGATGCGTCTTATGGAAAGGTGCGTCTTATGGAGCGAAAAATACTGTATGTTAACACATAGAGGTGAGGAACTATTTTATGTGAAAATGAGAAGAAAAATAATAAAGAAAATTAAAATAAAACGATAAGCCTAAGTGTATTCTTTGAAATTAATTGTAATCATATATTGTGATCAGGTGCTTGAAGAAGCTTAAAGGGGCACTTTATATGATTTTGAGGGCATTGTGAAAAAATAAATGTGCCCAGATGTGCCACTTTTTTGTTGTCTACTGTTTAACAGTGTGTACAGCGTACACAATAACTTGGAAAACAGCATAGAATAGCAAGATGGATGTAGCGCTACAGATACTTGCAACCTAAAATTCTTATGGTTGTAATCCTTTTGATATTTTTACTCATGATTAGACATGGGGATGAATTAAAAAATGGATCGTGATATTTGTTAGAAATAGCTGATTCGTTAAATATTCGCCCCTTCATATTTGTGGGTTCCAGAGACGCCCAGGAATATGAAGGCACGAGTATTTCCCCACTTTTATTCATCCCCCATAGGAAGAGAGGGAAGGCTAGCCTTCCCTCCCTTCCTATGGCATTCTCATTCTGCCTACCCCCACAGCCCCCCACTCCTGTAGCCTATCCCTTGCCCCCTTCCTCTCCCTATCTGCCTCCGCTGTCCCCAACCTCCCCCCCCCCCGCCAATGCACCCGCACCATAATCGCCGCCGCTGTCTCCAGCTGGCCGCCACAGCCGGAAGAAAGGGACACTGCCTGTCCTTTGCAAAGATGGCGGCTGCGGCTTCATTTAGGGTAGGGAAGCTGCAGCTGTGGAGGCCAGCTGGAGATGGTGGGGGTGCATTGGCGGGGTTGAGCCTATGTCACAAAAATAAAATTTTGATCTCCACAAATTGTTAATGACTTATTTTTTTTAATAGTGAGAATGTGCAGATGTCTGAAGAAAAACAAAGGATTATGATGTTAGAAAAAGTGAGTAGTTTTTATCTAATATCAATCTACTTCCAAAGTGCTTTTTTCATTACTGAGTTGTAGCATGTATTGTAATATATAATGCTATTCTGCAGTTGGTTAAATGAAAATGTTTTATTATGTTAAGCACTTAGAACTTTCAACTTACAAATTAATACTGCCTTTTCATCTTTGAATGATTGCATTTATTTACCATTAGAAGCTTTAGCTTACAATGTACACAGTTCTTGGGTGATTAGAGGAAGGACGCATAGCTCACTGATAGAGCACACACTTTGTAAGAAGACTGTATTTTTAATGTATGCAGTTAAAAAGATCACAAGAAACAGAGCTGAAAAAAAAACTTGTATTCTAGTTAGTCGAGAGCCGGGGTAGTGTGACAGTACTGAGTCTGTGATTATATTGCATTAGCTTATCCATATGTGTGTCTTGCTTTAAACTCTTATTATGAGTGAGGCAAGACAGAAATTTTTGCATCTTTTTCCTCATTCCAGAAGAAATTCAGTTATTACAAAGAGCTGCTCTACACAGATAAACATTTCAGACTGTCTTTTCCCTTCCCTCCTTTAGACTCAGTCATAAACTAAAAAGGGGAGCAGGTAGCACTCTTGTGTGCTTAGCTGTTAAGACTCAATTGGATTAGCATAATTAAAAATGCATGTACAGTATTTTCCTTTAGTCCTCTGGGGATTTATTTCGTCTATCACTCTATTTGGTTTCTCCCCTTCCTTGTGGGAAGAGGGAAAAACATCAGTAATATTAAAGTTGACTACCAGTGTTACAGAATTGTTTTAAATAAAAATTACTTAGTCTGAAAATCATATTTCATTTTGAACTTCAAATCACTAGAAATGTACATCTGCTATGGACAGCTGGTTGCCTTCCTTATATCAGAAGCTGTTACTCAAGATATACAGTGTTACAAAAAAATTGTGTAACATGGCTGATCTCATTTGTGGTCTTGGTTGATCCACGTAATTGTTCATTTGTGGGTCCACAAAGATGAAGAAGAATTTATCTACAAATCCTTATTGTTCATATTTACTCAGAAGCAAGTCTCCATAAATTAAGTGAGATGTTCAGTTACATAAGTGTAGGATTGCAGTTTTAAAATACTGAAATTGTATATATAAGGGCATGACACTAATATATACAGTACTGCTTTTAAATAGAACATTTAAAAGTGTATGCTATCTTGTTTTATAGACACTACAGTTGAAAGAGGAGGAAAATAAGAGGCTTAGTCAAAGATTGGTAAGTGAATGTATTTATATGGATAATTGGAGTTCTGTTTTAGAGAACAAAAACATATCAAGCAACTAGTTACAAAAATAGTTCTTTCACAACCCAAATAAATGAGTACCGAAGTGAGGCACCACTGTATTTCTTTCACAACCCAAATAAATGAGTACCGTGTAGGGTGCTACAGATGCTTGGATCTGTGGCTAAGGATGGCCTTAGATTCCATTAGTTAGCATTCCTTAAGACAGGGATAGGATGGAATAGGAAACCTTTGACCCTCCACATATCATTGGACTGCATCTCCCATCAGTCTTAGCCAACACAGCCAATGGTGAAGGAGTATGGGAGCTGGAGGGTCACTTTTCCCCCACCTTTTCCTCCGATAAATGAGTTCTGTTCCTTATGTATTACTACAATACATGGCAGTAACTACTAACACACATGAGACGATATGCTTTATTATAAGAACAGATTAAAAATACCTTAGAAAATCAGTTATAATGGACACAAAGGCAAATCTTGGTGAGGGAATAATAGAAAAGTAGTCATTTGAAAATATGTTTAGTTTATGTTTTTGAAGAACTGTATTGAAATATTAAAAATTAGTTCTTTAAAAATCATTTCTTAAAATCCTGAGTTCATATATAGGCAAGAGGAATTGCTACCACCTGATACATTTAAACATATGGAATGTATAAACATGGTGTCGTAATGAACAAGTTGTGTCTGCATGAGGATCTGAAGCATCATAGAATTGCTCTGCAAATCTCTCTGAAATGTTGCAGTGCTGGAAGTGCTGTGGTTTGGGAGTGGGTTGTTTGTTTTGAACTGATTTACACTTAGGTAAGAGAGCCTTGGTTGCATGTGCAGTGGTATTTGCAGTTCATCTAAAAAGCAGTTTTCCTCACTGAGTAATTTAAATACTACATAAGAAAAGCTTGTGGTGTAGTTTTCTAGCTTTGTATAGGGTTTTTCAGTGAGATGATGGCAATGGCTGTAAGATGTGGAAACCTTGATTATAAATTTCCCCCCACAATTCACCAGGAAAAGTTGGGGGAAGAGCTTTAATAGTCAAAATTGCTGTCACTTTCATTGGAACCACTGGCAGCAATCTCGTGATTACTTTTACTATTAAAGTTCTTCGTGGCCTCTGTGAATCACACCCTGGGTGATCCATGCCTGTGCGGAGCCTCATTGCAAAGTTCTTGAGCTTCTGCAGTAGCAAAAACAAACAAACAAACAAACAACACCCCAAAACGTTAGAATAAGGCCCCTCCCCCCTCATATAAGTACCTTGGTGCCAAGGCTCCCCTTTCTTTCAGCCACCCTGATGAGAGCCTCATAGTTCTGCTTCTGTGAGTAAAAGAGAAAGAGAGTTTATTCTTGATTTCTTCCGTTATCAATCTTTTTTTCCTTTAAACTTTTATATCAAATTCATTATAATCAGAAGTGTTTTTCCCCCTTTCTACTGTGCTTGGCCTCTGGCCACAGCACCCCCACCATTGTTTTTTTTCTCCTCAAACTGTTTTCTCCTAATCATGGCCCCTTTGGACCCATTTAAACACTGTGTGCTCTGTGATAACAAAATACCACTCTCTGACGGGCACGTCAAGTGTCTTTTTTGCTTGGGAGAGACACACCAGATGTTCTCCCACCAGCATTGTAAGAACTTCAAGCGCGGAATCCTCCGTTCTCGCTTATCCAGATTAAAACTCCATCTTTGGGAACAATCCCTTCAGCCAACCAAAATGGCCTAACCTCTTTGTAAGGCCATCTCACAAACCAAAGCAATAGAGAAGCCTTTTTCTGAAGCCTCAAAACAACGTCCATCGAGATAGAGAAGGCTTTTTCTGAAGCCTCAAAACAATGTCCATCGACCACACCATCCCAGTCAGACATTCTGTCCATTTCGCCTAAAACTTCAAAAACTCATAAATCAAAGCACTCAATGCCGAAATCCTCGCTATCGAAGCCCTCCACTAAATGTCAAATGTCCACCGAAGCCTCTTCAGTTCCGGAGCCTTCTCCGCCTAAAAGACCTAAACGCCATAAATCTAAAGCTGCAGTCATTTCTCAGCAGCCTCAACAAACCGCTACATCAATCTTTATTGGTCCCCCTTCTGACGATGACGGAATCCCCTCTCATCAACCCTGCTCCCAATAACCGGAATGGGATGACAGAGTCGATCAATTAACATCTTCTCCCAGTCCTCAACACACTGTTCTTTTGAGCAACCCTTCCATAGTTGCTTCACCTGACAGGGTGGACTCCGAACAACAACTAGAGACCATACCTTATTCGGTAACATCTGATCGTCCACCATGACTTCCTCAGAGACATCAGCCCCAACAGTCCCTGGAGCCATTTATTTCATCATGCGTGGCTCAGACCCACATTCAGTACTCTCACCGGGGTGCCATTTGCCCCGACTAGTGCTCGAACGGACAAACCGCAACTGTCAATCAGCCAGTTGCTCTATCCAGCTTGACTGTACCTTCTCATGGTGGGCCTTGATCTCGACAGCCATCGGTGTCAAAACGGCCATATTAGCATGACACACATCAACTCCAACCTACTCCCTACCTGGCACCTAAAAGGTTCAGGACTGTTGAGCAATTTTTTTCTACACGCAAGACTTTTACAGCTCCAGCGCTCAGGACGGTTGAGCAATTTTCTTCTGCATGCAAGACTTTTACAGCTCCAGCCTCCTGATAATTCCCGCTAATCCAGACGAGGGAAATCATTCCTTTCACTCGGCATATCTGGGATTTATATACTCCACTGCTTTACCAGCTCGTCAACAACCTCCGTTTTGACATCACCAAGACACAGGCTCTGATATCAATGATCCTCGATATCCATTCTGGTCCATGGACACTCATTCTGCCCCTCTATTGACTCACGATTTCTGTCATCTGATAGAACCAAGCCATTGAACTTGACATCACTATGACCCCGGGTTCAACACCGACGTTCAACCATATCTAATGACATCCATGGACACTCGGATGACATCTCTTGATATCAAAAATCCTCAACACCAACAAATGCCCATGGACATGCTGCCTCATCGACATCAAGCAACAAACGTCAATACTACGTATGACACCCAACACTGAAGTCGATCGACAATCCATCGACTCCCAACACTATCCTGATTATTCTGATCACAAATCCAGACCTCAGACGCCGTCAGTATTACTTACCTCACCAGAATCTGACCTTGTCGATGCCGACCCACCATCACCGGTGGAAAACTTCCAAACCTATGCCCAACTTATGATCCATATGGCTAAGTCTCTCAATCCCCAAAACCACCATCCTTCGACAGAACCGGCCGATCATCTATACGACCCAGTCTCTAAAGATGCAACTAGTCCAGTACACATCTCGATGCTTCCATCTACTCATCAGTGCTCAATGATCCTGGACAAAATCAGCCTTTTCCCATACTATGTCTAAACGAATCGATAACCTCTACAGAGCCCATGATCCTGGAGCTCTATTTCTTCAAAAACAACCAGCTCCAAACTATTTTTGTCAAAGCCTCACAATCCAGATCTCGACATCGACAGACCCTCATACCACCAGTTCATTGCATACTTCATTGTGGACCACTTGGTTGTAACTCCTGGTGAACTCACATAGATGTAACTTTAGCTTATATCAGGTACAATAAGATATCAGCATTTATGGGAGAAAAGTGACAAGGAAACGATATAAATAAAATAAATAAATGGAGATGTCCACCACTGGCTGCACAATTGGATCTGGCCTCAGTATTTAGGACTGAGGTGTTAAATGTGTCAACATCTTTAAATCTGTTATAAATTTCATATTCTCTTTCCTGTCTAGAGGACATTTTCTCATGAGAAACTCTGCTGTATCTTTCATTGATTTGTCTAAATTGGACATCAATAAAATTACAGAAGAGTATTTGAGAGATTGATGTTTGGGTATAGAAAAGTTTCGGCAGTAACTCACAGAACTTTTACAAGGAAAAGCAGCAATTATTACACAAGGAAGAAACCATAACATGAAGCCAGATTTTGCTAGTCATACTGATATATAACTACCAATAGTTGTTTGAAACAGGTGAGAACCAATGAAGACCATAATACATGTCTTTGGGTCTTTTAGATGTTATCAGCAAATGCTTCCTTTCATTTACGTCATCATAATAACATCCTATTGATATGTCATGTTTCTAACAAGTAAGAGTTGTCAAGTATTATAGCCTCCCAGCTCAAGCTTCCCAAGTACTGTGAACGCAAGGATTTAAGTTCAGTTTTCTATTGATTTAGGATGCTTGTGTTATTTTAGGATCCTCTTGGTATCCTTCATGTTCCGGAAGAAAACAAATATCTTCTGGCCATGGTAATGAAAAATGTTCTTTCTGTGGCTGAGTCCCTGAAAGATGAGGAATTCTATCATTTACACATTTTCTTGCTTCTTTCCCTAATTTTTTTTTGTATAAACTGGATTAAACTTCAGATTTCTCCGTTCTCTAGAAAAGAAATTTGCTTTGAAAAGAATTTCAAAGGAGAGGAAATCTTGAGTAAATTCTCCCGGTGAAGTTCAGGATACTTGTTCTTGCTTTGCAATTGTGTGCATTTCTTATGTAACATTCTGTAGTCATCTCTGTGGCAACTAGAAAATAATAATTGCCATATGTTTTGCTACGTTACAGTGGTGAAATGCTGTTGCATATCTTTATACCTGGTGCAGCCTTACCCAGGTGTTGGAATCCAAGTTTATGCACCAACCACTGATGCTGAAGAGGCTGAATTGACCAGTTCTGTGAAGACTTACAACACCTTCTAGAACTCACACCAAAGAAAGATGTTCTTCTCATTCTAGGGGACTGGAATGCTAAAGTAGGGAGTCAGGAGATAAAAGTAACAACAGGAAAGTTTGGCCTTGGAGTTCAAAATGAAGCAGGGCAAAAGCTAATAGAGTTTTGTCAAGAGAACAAGCTGGTCATCACAAACACTCTTTTTCAACAATACAA